TAATTTATCTATGACTGATTTTTATTTTGAAAAGCTACTATATCCATAATAATCACACTGAATACAGTGTCTTTATATAATTGAAAGCTTCTGCTTCTCTCTAGATGCCTGAAATGCTCCATGGAGATGCTGGATCGCTGAGCCCTCTAAAGCACTTCCTCCTGCAGAGTCTTGGTCTGCTGATAGGGGGCGCCATCATGCTTTGCGTCGCCCTTTTTGAGGACCATATTGCTGTAAGCTTGGGAGAAATCTAAGGATATGAAGAAGACTATCTAAATGAAATCCTCAGGATGTCACACCAGAATTTCCATCCATGCAGCGGTATTATGCATTTACCTCATACCATAATGAACTACTGTGTCGCTACTGCGTGGATATTCTGAAGAAAGTGCACTGGATGGATTGCTATAAAAAGAGATACAGTGGGAGGAACTCATATATACACATCCTTGGGCAACTTCTTTTCAACCTAAGCTGAATTTTATGTAAGAAAAATTTCTTACTGAATGACGACATCTACAGAAACTTCTAGGGCTTATCTATAAGAAGAAGAGTATTTCAGGCCTGAATGAGTTCAATGCAGTGTCGTCAGTACGTTTTTCATTTATCATATGTTTCTACGTCTTGCAACTTTTAACAATTATTTTTTTTAAATGATGTATTGATGGTTGTTGTTAAAATGATAAAAATTAACCATCTTTATAACCATAATGTCATTGTTTCCTGAAAAAGAGCATTTATGAATTTATAGCCATAATGAAGTTATTGCTATTAGTTGCAATTTCATAATTCTAACCTGAATAATTTCAAACAATTATTGCAAAGTAACATTGCAAAAACATTGTCATTTTAATATGGAAGCTTGTTTCCGACACAGAATAAAAAAATAAGGGTAATTTGACTTTTTCCCTCAGGAACTGCGAGACAACTTTTACATTTTTCCTTGCAATTCTGAGTTTATATATAGTACATAAGTTTATATCTCACTGCTTTTAAGGAAAAGTCTGATTTGGGTGATATAAATTCCCAAACATATATAGAATTGCAAGAAAAGTTAGAATTGTCAGCGTTATTTCAGTTTTTTTATTCTAGAAATAAATTTCCATTTATTCAGATGATTTACTAAAGAGAAAAGAAAAACACCAATTAAAATATTAGCAGGGCAAGTATCAATCTGAACGACTGGCCAACAGAAAAAAATAAAATAAACAGTCCTAAATTTAGTCTGTTTCAACATTTTGTAGTGATCAGAGCAACAAAAAAAGACACACCACAACAACTTGTATGTAGCAATAGCATTTTATTTCAACATTACCAATTCTAAGCCACGATACTAAATGACAAGACCTACTGGCTGCAGCAGTTCATGAACCTGACTAACAAAAACATATGGGATATTTTTTTAATCTTTAAAGTCAGAGAGACCAATTCATTTTTAATAAGCTCAAATTAAAAATGATTATGTTCTTTCTTACTTAAATACATGTACAGAGTTTCACATCTGTTAGTAACAAGTAACCATTCACAAGCTCATACTATGAATTAACAAGGCAAAGTGCTTTCAGGATTGCATTGTCACATAAGGAAATGAATGGCTTGAGGTCTTTTTGTGGGGTTGAAAGGGTGAGGGTTCGCCTTCCTCAGGTCTAGGAGGGGGTCACGTGACCGTCCTAACAGATTCAGGCAGAACACACCGAATTCGCCCCGTACCCTCAGGTCCAAAATGGATATGTACAGAGGTACAAAGTTGGCAGGGAGGCGGATAGCTAACACGGATTAGCCAGTGACCGGAGTAGTGTTTTTGGAAGGGCGTAAGGCTAGGGAACTCTACATACCCCATATTTTAGTACAGAATGAATGTGCATAACTCAAACCAACCAACCCCCTTTCAAACCTTCACCACCAGTAGAAAATTGAGTTGTTGCTTCAGTACCAAAGTCATACAACCATCCATGCACTCTACTGAACTCGACCAGATGCACGTACATACCATGAAGAGCTGTAAACTTGAGTTCAGAGCGCTCACAGTGAACATTTAGAAGCGAGAGAAAGTGAAAGAGACAAAGAAACGGAGGGAAAAAACGAGCACAATGTAAATGCCAGCTAGTATAGGCTGATATTTTTCCCTGTTTTGTCAAAATAAAGCAAAGAAAGGAGCGATATAGGCAAGACACATATGACATCATTTGAAATATAATGGGGAGAAAGTTGGATTCGAAGAAAAAAAAAAAGAAGAAGAAATAATACAGTCAGCTTCACATTCCAGTGGTACTCTGTTGTGTACACACTTATGTGTATCACACAAATATCATGTTGCACACACACACACAGTCAAGTACGCTAACTGTCATCTTATATCACCGATTGTTTAAGTTATATATCTGTTCATATACATATATATTTCCATTTGTCATCAACAATTGGAGGAGTTTTCAATGCATCAAGCTGTAACACAGAGGTAGGATAATGCTACTTAAAATGCCTCACGTTTTGCTAATTTTAAACCATTGTGTCGGCGATGGGTCAGGCTTGAAGCGGAGTGGCAGGTGTTTTACACAAGCAAGTGGTGATCTTATTGGTTGATACGGAATCGGTGTGATGTCGTAGACCCTGCAATGGTCCCAGGCTTCTGCTGGTGATGGTATCTCCTACATGTTTAACTTAAAGACAGGATAAGAATATTTGCAGATATGTCGATGAGGTATACAGGGTTGATATGACCCCTGTTTGTCACACTCGCACGCACAACACATACACACTGGGTGCTGCCCTACACGATCGCTTGCTATGTTTCCATCGTCGAAACAATTAGCGGAGAACGGCTTGGAGTTCAATACTCAATTAAATAGTGCAGTTTTAAAGTCAGGGTCACATTTCCTTCACGTCATAATGCTTTTCAAATACTTGGCATGTTCAAGCAGAGCTCGGAAGCAGTGACAGTAACCCTGTTTTTGCGGGAATCCATCTCAGCTGCTCGGTTCTGCGATTCGGTGATGGAAACACAGCCACGGTGTAGTATTTTTGCTTTTTTTTTTTTTTCGTAACAGCAATCTTTTGTAAAGTCTTAAAGACGGCGGGTCCTAGTGAAACTGGATTCAAACATGGGACGCAGGAGGTCCGCTCGATTAAAGCCAGTTGCTTCGAAATGGCCAAATCCTGCACGCATCCAATTCACATTCAGTTTGACTGAAATAAGGCTCTCTCAGCACTGAAATCTCTTATGTTGGATTCAGTTACAAGAAGAGGGTGTTAACCAAAGGTGCCACAGATTACATAGCCAGGCCAAAAGCAGCCAGAGTCAACAAATCTTTAGAAATATACAATTGTCTCTTGATACTTGTATTGCTTGTTCTTGAATGAAATCAAGTGGCCATCTCTACAGAGACATACATTGGTCCTATGTTGTGAAATACTAGATTACTTTATTCAGTGTGCTCCCTGTGATAATCAAATATGAAATCATTGATTGCTTGAAGCCAAAATGAAGGACCTTAAAGTAAGTTACAACGTAAGGTTTTCTGAAGATTATTATATGACTTCTGGTATTGGTTGTCAACGGTACTTCTGTTTTGAACAATGAAATTCAAAAGGAATGTTTCTTTATGATACAGGTTTCATTTTTTTGTTTATTATTTAAAAAGTTACGAAGACATTTAATGACAAATATTGGGATCTTGATGTAAGACCCCCCCCCCCCGCAATGAAACGTTCTTTGGTACCGCATAACATATGGCCCAAAGTTCAACTGTTGCGTGGGAAGAAATAAAACCCTGCTTATTTCACTGCTGACAATAACATTCAATATATAATTTCCAAATAGAACTATCACATCTCTAATCAAAAAAATTGTAGAACTGTAATTTTAGGCAATGCGCTTTGCTTTTGGTATCAAATCAATTGATTAGAGGTAAATGAACAGGTCTAAACACCCCCAACACACACACACACACACACACACAAATGCTTAACATGCCACGAAAGCAAACTGACTTTAAGTGGCGCTGGAGAAGGTACATGGAAAACAACAATCTCTGACCTATCAACCGATGAGCAAACAGAAATGCCATCTTTCCAGTAAGCAAGAAGTATTGATAAGGCTTTGACACCCATCACAGTTTCCACCAAGTCCATTGTACATTCCACAAGAAAGTGCCACTTATGGAGGCAAAGCAGGAAGGAGTTTAAATTTGTACAATCCAAAAATAAATAAATAAGTGAATAAAATACCCTGCTTAAAGAAAAACAAAAACAAAACATGGATGTTGTAAGAGGGCATTTTCCTCCATTAAGGATACTATGGCGCACAAAAAACGTTATTGCACTTCAGTCCATTTTAGGTGGATACTTTGACGTCGATACAACATAGAGAAAAGGAGTCATGCCAACATTCTACAAGACACTGGGTTACAACTAATCTCCAATGCATTACCACACAAAAACGACACGGCACACGTCTACTTCACTAAAGAGTTCACACATTGTAAAACTAAACACGTTTTGTTCCATACAGAGTTTGAACAGGTCACTAGCTAGAACCGATCAAATGTTTCGCCGTTATGGTTTCATTCAATTTACAAAAGTTAATTATTCATCTGCGGTGTCGTGACAAATTTGATCGCGAGTTTTGACGGCTCAAAATGCAACCACGTAGATGGTGGCTATTTTTGAAACTTACAACAGTTGTTCATTCATAAGGCTCACTAAAGGTGTTAATGGAAGACCATACCCTGTGGCATGTACTTGATAACAAAAGGCACAATCCCACATACTCATCACAAAGTATAGTACTTTAAAGAGATGATGATGCTTACAGACTCCAAAGAAATAGCAGCATGCCACGCAAAGCAGTCATTTTCTCAACCGAAGACAACAAGCAAGTAAGGTCAGTGTTAGATTTACAGATGAAGGTTCGTGATCGGTCATTGAAGCTCTTGGGCTCTCTGGTGGCACTATGCAACTCTGCGAGATAAAAGGAAGTATTCCTGCATAGGTTTTTTTTGTTTTAAATATGAAAATGTTTTTTAAAGGGATCCCTACGTGCCCTGTCAGGTCAGCCACTCAGTCAGGCTCCGGTGGTTTTCTAACTAGCCTTATGAAAACAAGCTGCTGGTGAGAACAACAAAAAGCAGCTATTTTTGATTAAATCATTCGCTTGCAGATTTACAATTTGAACTATTAGCGCTTACTGAGTAGAAACATGAAGTAACACTAAGCCAGGGTGAAGGACATCATCAAGTTCAAGAGCACCCCTTGAAAAAGTCAATGCTTTCCATTTCAAGGCCTCAGAATGTGACCTTAGGATTCCAGTTGCACGGCACATGCGTAGCTAAAAGCCCATCCAAATTTCATGTACTAGTATATATATATATATAGCACGATAGATTTTAAGGACAGCTAGTTTACGAGGTAAGATTGCCACGTCAAGGCAATTCCGACCACACTTCTTGAGGAATTATGTACAGCACATCTTGTGCTCTTATTTACTTTGTTAGAAATATTTGCATTTATAACATCACAAGTATTTACTACCTAAATGTTTCAACTAAGACACAGAAAAATGGGGAGAAAATTGATCTATTCTGTCCTGTATAAAATTATTTAGCATTGGATAATACATACTTTTTTTTCTTAGATGTATTGCCAGATCTTTTACCATTCACTACCCGTGTTCCCATACTGATTTTTTCTGCAAATTGGTGTTTTTATAAATCAGTACTTTAAATGCTTAATTTAGGAGAACCTAAACCCAACATTATCAGATTTTTGCTTAATGAGTAAAGTTGGTCAAACATTAGCTGTTCCAAAATAAATTTTACAGCTAAATATTTGAAACAAATGTATTAAAAAAAGACTTTTTTTTTCTTTCTATGTTCTAGTGCAAAAACTCCTAATAAATTCCATGAAAATTATTATTTTGAGGCCAGAAGCCATTATGGTACATCTTTCAGCAAAACAACCTATAGAACAGTGTGCTTCTTATGAATCTCATCGAAACGAGATCCCAGGTTAATGACAAAATCTCTCAAGTGCTGCGACTGCTGAACTATACCGTTTCCTCTTAAGGCAAAAAGTTGGGAGATAGACATAGATTAAATGAAACGGGTGTTTTGAGTATTGCCTTAAATGGATGCGTCTTCAAGTAGTAGGGACGCTGAGGTCCACTGAGGTAAATCAGACATTCTATCAGCCATTAATACCTTTGCGAGAAAAAAAATTATATCTATACACAAATGCGAGGATGGACATACAATAAGGACACCGAGTTAGCTACAATTAATCTGCTTTCCAACAAAATGGTTACAATTATTAGACGACTCTAGTTTCCAACTGCCTGCATGTAATTGCAACCATTATAACTTGGTCAACAGGCAATGAAAGCGGGCCCTTCATAGCAAAGTTGCGTAAAAACAAACAAAAAACAAGCTTACAATTTGCTGATCCAGAATAAAACAAGAAAAGCTATGTAAAGGTGTCATTTTGGTAAATGTCAAATTTGCCCTTCGGTTAATAATGAAATTAAGGCATTTCGTAATTCCATTGCTTAGAAATAAACCTCAAATTATCAATGGTTTGTGGGAACTATCGATTACAATGGAACATTTATAAAATATAATTTTTGAATTAGCCATTGACTGAATGACTCAAATCCGGCTTCTCCATTTATAAGGGCAAATGCTAAGTTATGGCTTAGCCATAAAAGCTTTCAGATGGAGGTGATCTCCACCAAGGGCTAACCAGCCCATCAGTATAGCTTAGTATATACTGACATTTTTAGACAGTCTGATTGTGAACGTACTGGTATTTTACAATAACTAACACTATGTGGATCTCCAAAAAATATAATGGGCACAGTAGCTTATGTTAGCTTGGACTTCGTTCGTTTTCTTTTTTGGTAATGGTCTTGACGCACACTCAAAAACTGAACCCAAGGAATCATTCATTCACATTTTTACAAACGTATCAAAATGAGAAAGGAAAAAGAAAAGTTATGGCACTAAATGATTTAGGGAGGAAACCCCCCTTATCAGTACTCTACCCTACAAAAAAGTCTTGCCTCTTTGTGACCGGTTCCCTTAATGTTCGTACATAGAACACCTAATGCACCAACTCTATTAAAAGTTTTGAAAGGGCTCCTGTTGTCAAGCTAATTATTTAATCGCTAACTACTGCATACAAGTTTTTCACCAACATCGAAGCAAGCTGCTACCATCATGGCATACATTCGACAAAACAATTCAACGATTTTAGTGCAATGCCAATAAGACAACGAGAAATTTGAGGAATTAAACAAGTACGTTTTAGTTTGTTTTGGCTGGATAAGAATTATTTTCGCTAATAAATAGACAAAGATCACCTCTAAAAAATTAGCTCCAAGATACAATCGAAAGCAGCACTTTTTCTTGCACCAAAATGAAATGTATTACTAATCACAGGCTCCACGGGCACTTGTTTTTCGAACTCAACTACATGTGGTATGACTAGCTGGACTAAATTTATAAATAATTTTTTTTTTTTTTTTACAACTACAAGCAGTATAACTGGCAGTGCAAATAACTTTAAGCTCTCCTCAACTTGCACTTCCTTACCCTGTTGCGGTCTACACACGCACTGATTTCCTCCACCAAACCACAGCAAAAGTTATTGTACGTGATAAAAGTCAAGCTCAAGTACAGGTAAATAAGCTTGAATTAAACTCCCATGAGGGACTTCCTCTTAGTCATGTAGCCCACTTAGAAATATTTCCCAGGCAAAACACTGCGATATAACTTGCCTAATCTGATTTGCACACATGCACATTTGTACTCTTGCAAGTAGAAGTCAGATATTTGCCCATTTACAGCTTGTGACAGATGCAAAAGCGTTTTTTTTCATCCTTTTTTGTTACTGAACAAGCAAGTGCTTTATATCAGGTCTGTGTGGAGTGGAGAAACTTGTTTAAGCAGCCAAAACCTGTCATTACAAAGAGGAAGAGGTAATTTCGTGAATCAGTATAAATATGCTCTCCACACAGCCTTTAAACATCTAACGTTACCATTTTGTTTGTCTACACACCTTCATTCACCCATAAAATATCAGTTAATGTTACAATACTTCAAAGCTACTCTAAATCACTAAAATCCTGATATACTGTAATGAAAGCAATAGTATTGGTATAATTGAGAACAAGTCCACATTTCACGCCTGAAAGTATGCTTGAATTAAGAGATATAGATTTGTATAGCTCTTCCTAATTGAAAAAAAAAAATGACGCTTTTGCGTGTTTATGAAAAAAAGAAATCTATGGCAAAATTAAAAGCCCTTTCAACTGATTGTCTCATTACTGACTGAGCATATATTGCCTGTTTGTGGTGCACAAACAAAAAAAAGGGATGTTTCAAACACTCATTCACAATGTTCTTATTTTGTGTTTAAGTGCAAAAAACCTAATGGAAGCACAACCTTAACTTTGTTAATCAATTCACCTTTGGCAATAAGGAAGCATTTTAAAAAGAGCAGGGGTGAATGTTAAGTACTTTTTACTTCAATTAAAAAGAGAATGCCTTTTTGGATATCTATTAGTTTCTATTAAAAAGGTAATTAGAAATTGCTCGACTTTGGTCATACCCATGACTGCTCCCCAACACCATAAACAAATGTAAAAAAGGTCCAGTCAGCATAAACACTCGACATATACACACTCCTCAAAGTCTAAAACAACCCAAGTGGGTTCTGATATATGAAATCACATGTTCATCTATTCAGGTGATCAATTCATAACGGATTTTAGTGAAATACTCATGTTTCACTGGTCGAAGCACCATTTCGACGACTTCAAGGGAGCGCATATGGTGTGTTTAACTGACTGGACCCTAGGTAGACAAAACTAAATTCAGTAGGCACTGTGAAAGCAACTCCACACTAAATATTATAGCAAAGCAGTACATTTACTTGAAGAAATTTTTAGGCCCAAAAAGCAAATCAAATAAAACCAAAGGTCCCAAGGAGCAAGTACTGTGTATGACGTTTGCATCTGTAATGATGTTTGTGCTTTCTATACTTCCTTAGAGTAGCATCTTCAAAATGTTGTTTTAACGGCCAAAATCAAGACACTTTTAACTCCTCTTTCTTCTGCACACCTACAAACAGTGATCTGGACTACCTAATACGAATGTTCAACCTCAAAACCCATCCAAACACTATCCCTTTTCTCTCTAACAAGTAAACAAGCATTATATATCAGACCCCTCTCTCAGGAGGTCATTGGTCTTTTGGCTTAAGGTAGTATGGTTTCCCTTCTGTTCTGATTCTGTTAGGTTGTTTGTTTTTCCTGATCTGTGCTAAATCAGATTGCAGCTCACATAAAAACCTGGAAACGTAATAAATCAAGTATGGGATGAAAATCTTGGACTGTTGCGCAAAAGTGGATGTCACACATACACGTGCACGCACACACACAAACACAAGACCACTATCAAATACATGGTCCCGCAAATCTAGTGTAACCCGTTTAAATTGTTCCTCAGGGCAGGCTGTAAATTCCTATGCAAGGCCACAGCATCACGCAAATTGGAGGCATGATATGGAAACCCATCCATTATCACTGTTACCATGGAGACACACAGCTGCATAATTCTAACATGAACCGAGTCGAATCGACTGCAAATGGAGAAGAAATAAAGGACTGACTCGCCAGTGATGGATACTGGTTCGAATAAATGGCTTAGATTCAAATTTTAGATTTTAGACTCGTACTGAATGGACAGCATCTAAAATGGGAGTCAGGGGGTGGGAGGAAAAGGAAGCGGGGGAAAATAAATAGAAATAAATAGCTAAATTCGTCCTCTCATGTTCACTCTCTACTGAGATGTGAAGAAAAGCTTTGATACTGGCATAGGAGGGATGTGTGGCTGTAATTGCATATAGGTTTATCTAGGTGTGTAGAGAGGACCAAACCAAGCTTTTTTTTTTTTTTTTTTTAGCGAGTAAGAAGGCCTTACTCGGTCAAGTAGCCATCCAAGCCGATAGTAGCACCATGGCGATCTTTGACGTAACCATGGCGAAGGCCTCCATTGGGCAGGGGGGGACAGACGGCGGTGATGCCACAGTGCTTGAGCAGGTTGAGGCTGGGAGACGACGGTGAGGACGAGGAGGACGTGGAGGAGGAAGGCTTCATGGTTGACAGAATGAGAGCTAGGCAGTCAGCAACAGCTTTATTGGATGCGCAAGCCAGGGCTGGCGTATGACCTGTGACGTGACAAAAACACAAAGGCATCTTAGCCAAGGAGAAACTCATTTAAATGTAGCAGTTAGGCCACATGATTTATGGAGCGTTTGTTCAAGGGATAGTTCACCCAAAAATGAAAATTATGTCATTAATTACTCACCCCCATGGCCTTTTTGTGCGCAAAGAAAGCAAAAATAACTATTTAACCATTTCTTCTGGGACAGTCTGCCACCATTAATGAGAGTCCCATGGCGCATGCCGTTATTTTTGTTTTCTTTGCACACAAAAGGTGTATTTGCAGCTTCGTAAAATTACAGTTGAACCACTGATGTCACATGGACCATTTTAACGATGTCCTTACTACGTTTCCGTGCCTTGACCATGGTTGGATCCTTGCTGTCTATGGAGGGTCCGAAAGCTCTCAAATTTCATCAAAAATATCTTAATTTGTGTTCCGAAGATGAACGAAGGTCTTACGGGTTTGAAAAGACATGAGGGTGAGTAATTCAAGAAAGAATATTCATTTTTGGGTGAACTATCTCTTTAAGATGGAGCACTGTGCTAATGTACCGTATTTTCCAGAAAGTCGCTTATATTCCAAAGTAATGAAAATAACATCAAGCACACACAACATACCAGTTCTAACATGGCTAACTTGACATTACAGCCTATGCATCAAATTAAAATGCAGTCAACCAAGCCTAAAGTTACACGATTCAAATTCTCACATCTGTTTTTTTTTTACTGTCTGATGACAGTAAGTTGTTGTTAGCTGTTGTCGAATTATAAATGGTCTATTTTTTTACACCATTTGTGCTTGATAGGCAAGGCAAAGCACATTAAGTTTATTTCCCACATGCTGGTAATTCAGTTTCACTTTAAATAAGTTTATGCTTGGTGTTTCTAATAAATGTTGTTTATAATAAATGGCATCATAATTAAAATGTTTTGATGTTCTGTGGAGTAAAGGGAACTAAAATATACTATAGTATAAACTTCTAAATTATCTAAGCTAACAGAGTGTGACAAAAAATTTAAAAGATTGGATGACCAATACATTTCTCCTATTAAATTCGGATAAGACAGAGATATTATTTATTGGACCAAAAAAACAGTACACAGAATCTCTTGGATTACAATTTGCAACTAGATGGATGTACTGCTACTTCCTCTACAGTCAAAAATCTGGGTGTTGTATTAGACAGCAACTTGTCTTTTGAAAATCATATTTCCCATGTTACAAAAACAGTATTCTTCCATCTTAGAAACATTGCCAAGTTACGAAACATTAGCTGCCTGTTTCTGATGCAGAAAAGCTAGTTCATGCATTCATGACCTCTAGACTGGACTATTGTAATGCACTTCTAGGTGGTTGTCCTGCATCTTCAATAAACAAGCTACAGGTAGTCCAAAATGCAGCGGCTAGAGTCCTTACCAGGTCAAGAAAATATGATCATATTACTCCAATTTTACATTCTCTGCACTGGCTACCTATTAAGTTCTGTATCAGTTACAAAATATTATTACTTGCCTATAAGGTCCTTAACTAGTCTTCTACCACACTACAATCCATCACGCTCCCTAAGGTCACAAAACTCTGGACTTTTGGTAGTACCTAGGATAGCAAAGTCCACTAAAGGAGGTAGAGCTTTTTCGGATTTGGCTCCCAAACTCTGAAATAGCCTTCCTGATAACGTTCGGGGTTCAGACACACTCTCTCTGTTTAAATCTAGATTAAAGAAACATCTCTTTAGCCAAGCATTTAAAAAATGCATCTCAATCTTGTACTGCAGTTATATCTGATCAAATGCGCATTATTATTCTTTAGCTTGGGTAAATCAAATAAATTTTGCTTGGTTGGAACAGTAGCTACGCTAATTATGTTATGCTCTATTTGTTTCTCTGTTTTTGCCATGGGTAACTAGGATTTACACAAGCTTCAGTCTGGATCCAGAACACCTGAGAAGAGATGATGCCAACCCCTCAGAGGACCTCAGATGATGCCAACCCTGAAACAACATACAGAACTACCACATTTTGCTATAAGTTTGATTGCATAATATAATAATTGCTGTTAATAGTGTTCATCTGTTTGATTACGTCTTTAATTGATTTTTCCATACATTTCTGACATGTGTACATTAACTGACAGTCACCACTGATAAGCTACTACTAAATATATTGTAGAAACTTAATTTTCTGTAAAGCATTGCAACAATTTGTATCGTGAAAAGCGCTATACAAATAAACTTGAATTGAATTGAATAGTGCTAATATTTTGGAATTATTTTATTTAACATTTTTTACAATTATTTCTGAATGTAATAAAATGTGATTTAAACTGCAATTCAACTGATGTTTGTCCCCCCCCCCTCTCAACAGTGAAATTTTTACCCGGTCCAACCAGTATTCAATTGCAAAAAATACATACGTGTATGTATGTATATGTATACACATATTATGTATAAGTAGGCTAATCTGACCCATCTAAAATGGGGGTAATTAACAGATTTGTCATGTTCAAAACAGTAAATTACTAGTATGCTAACTTCATCAATATTAATATAGCATTTCTAATAATTATTCCATGGAAACAATTGCACAATATACTTTTTTACCCCTAATCTTATCTTTGCACCAGTTTATGTTGCTGTGAGCAGCTCTCACAAACTTTTACCAAAAATGCAAAAGATAAATTTGTCTGTATTGTATTGCAAATTCACTTAGAAAAACCGCAGCAAGGCCTGTCTTACCTTCCTCATCCACTGCCAGCACTGTGGCTCCACGATTCAGCAAGGCCTGAACCACGGTGGCCAAACCATTCCTGGCGGCAATGTGGAGGGGCCTGAAATATAAAGAAAATGAAGTTGAGAATGATTTTAAAATGTTTGTCCAGTTTATTCTGATTGAGTTACAAGTAAAGTGTGTAGTTTCTGTGCCACAAAGACAAATCAAGTAAATGTTTAAAGCTAGTCAGGATGCTCAAAAAAGAGAGCAATGCTATGAAATTGCTACAGAGCCATGAATTACTTGTTGTATTTGCAAACTAGTACAAAGAAACTCACATTTGAAGCATACTGTTGGTTGCATTTATGAGGATAGGGTTGTGGATCTCCTTCAAGATCAGCATGGCACACATTTCATGAGCCTTCAAACACACAGTTAGCAATATGCACAACATTTGAGAAATCTGATCAAGAGAAAATTAGTGTTAAGTTTAAATAGAGCGCAGTTTGTTACCTTGCTGCAGGCCAGGTGCAGGGCAGTGTTCTTGTTCACATCCAGGAGGGACAGGTCAGCTTTGGCTCTGTGCAGCAGTAGGGCTGCATACGACAATAACAAAAAATCTGAAATTACTAAACTCTCTATAAAGGCATGAGACTTACATGGATTACTTATATCACACATGGGTCTTGGATTACTTATATCACACATGGTACAACTCTTACCCACAGCACCGCTTTGGCCATTGTCGGCGGCCACCATCAGTGCAGAACGCCCTGAGTGGTCTACGGCGTTGATGTCAGCGCCGTGCCGCAGAACCAGCTGCAGCCCAGCCACGTCCTCGGCAACTGCGGCTGCGTGAAGCGGGGTCCTGAGTACAAAACGTTAGAACATAGTCATTTAGATAGTTGATAACTCATGTACTGGTTTTCAATTTGTAACTTTTTAAAAATGAATATACATATATAATTGTATTTTAATAACTACTTGCACCAACCTTCCTTTGGCATCCCTGATGTTTACCAGCGAATTACAAACACTGGATTCCAACAGCAGCTCTGCAGAACCACTATGGCCATTAATGCTGCAATGAGACAAGAACATGCAGCATGGCGATTAGGAAACATATACCATACATTATATATTCAATATAGTTTTATTTAAATACTCTTTGCATATCAAAAACTTAATATATGGGTTTACTACGCAGAAAGGATTCAATGGCTAATTTTGGTGGCTGTAAAAAAAAATTCCGAACAAGTATCCAAGTACACTACCATCCAAAAGTATGGGGTTGGTAAGATTTTTAAATGATTTTTGAAAAAACGTTTCTTATGCTCACCAAGGATGCATTTATTTGATAAAAAAAACAGTAAAAACAGAAATAGTGTGAAATATTATTGCAATTTAGTTTTCTATTTTACTATATTTTAAAATGCTAATTCTCATATGCTGATTTAGTGCTCAAGAAACATTTATTATTATCAATGTTGAAAACAGTTGTGCTGCATAATATTTTTGTAGAAACTGTGATACATTTTTTAAATAGGAAGTTCAATTTTTTTTCGTTGTTGTCAATTTTAATGCGGCCTTGCCATATACAAGTATTACCTGTGTTTTTTTTAATCTTACTGTCCCCACACTTTTGAATGGTTGTGTACACTGGTGTGGAACCGATTCAAAATTAGTGAGCCTTTTTTACACCATTATTACTATTATTGATTTAAATTTGAAGTAATCTGGGTACAAACTGCAAAGATGATAAATAAAAAATAAAAGTGGATAATTACTAGAATTATTTATAACAGACATGTCTATGACTTTGACATTTAATAAATTTTTCTGACTTTTTCAGTTCAGTTTCTGTTTTCCCAGGAATTATAAAAAAAAAAAAAATTACATCACCTTTGAAACCGAAAAAAACAATACTCACAGAGCACAGTGCAGTGGGGTGAAGGGGTTTCCCTCCTGGATACTACATGGTTTAAGTTCAAGTAAAACATCCAAACAGTCTTCATGACCTGTTTCACAAATAGCGCAAGTCACCTGTTTAACTTATGACAGTTTCAGCAATGCGAACGAGCCATTGAGGCTCAAAAAGTCTGAGCTCTTACCGTGATAGGCTGCCCAGTGTGCGGGTGTGTAGCCGTGGCGGTCGGTGATTGGGTCGTGGGGGTGGGAGTGGTCAGCAGCAGAAAGAAGATTGGAGAGAATGTCAGCATGGCCGCAAGAAGCGGCCAGATGGACTGCGGTTCGCCCCTGAAAATCTCTGCTGAGGACTGAGACACTGTGGGACAGCAGGGCGGTTATACAGTCCTCCCGACCCATCACCGCCTACAAAGACAGACCTGGTTAGAAACCTCCCATTATGAGGACTATAGCAAAAGCTTTACTAATGATTTGAGAATCTCACCCCTCTGTGTAAGGCTGTTCTTCCTCTCCTGTCTCCCATATCAGGGCAAGCTCCTCTCTCCAGCAGCAGATGCACACAGTCAGTGTGTCCCCCCAGCACTGCCAGCATTAGTGGTGTTCTATCAAGAGAGAGAGAAAAACAGTGAGAATGATATCAACAACTGTGATCTGAAAATGCAAATGAAAACAGTTATGATTATTTTCCAGCATTGTTTGGGAACATTTTAATTACAATTTTTATGAGGATCTCTTATCAAAAATGGAAGTGCTATGCATGGCTTGTTTTGTTTTTGTTTATTTGAAAGTGACTTTGTGTTTGAACTGTTATGCGAATTACATATTTTGACACTTAATTGTCATACCAATAACTGAGATTACCAAATTGTCTTTTTGTTTACATCTCTGAAATATATATAGTGAAAAGTATTTCTGAAAAATGAAATAACACGGAACAGGTTGACATATGAATAGCATTTACTTAAAATATTTATAAAAATGCTAAAATATCTCTTTTTGTTTCAAGTTTTTTGGAACCCAGACAAACTGCGTATTATAGTCTTGTCACAGATCATAACTGTTATTACTATTAGGAATAATATTAGTATATTTGCATATAATAATAATTAATATTTCACTGCAGTATGGTCCAGCAACAGGCTCAAGCCTTCGTTGCACATGCAGACCTTGGAGTTAAATACTTTATTACTATTATTTAGTTATAATTTTAATATGATAACTATGTTAACAAATCAATATAATTATAAATGCAAATATAAAAATGTAAATACAATTATAAATTATATAACAAAATTACATAAAAAAAAGTTTATTCCAACACTCTGAAAATGCTGGGTTATTTTTTTCTTTTCCCCAAATGCTGGTTTCAGCCTGTTGGGTCATTTTATTGGGTTATTTTTAATATTTTTACCCAGGGGCTGAGCTGTTTTTTTAACCCAAATGCTGGGTTCAGCCTGTTGGGTCATATTATTGGGTTACTTTTAATATTGTTTTACCTAGGTGCTAGGTAGTTTTTCTGTAATTAAGTTGCTGGGTCATTTTTAATGCTAGGTTATTTTTTCTACCCAATCGCTGGGTCAAAATAACCCAGCATGTATTCGGTCTAATATTTTCCCAGCGCTGGGTTGCCAAATAACCCAAGTTGGGTTGTTTTTAACCCAGTATTTTTTAGAGTGAAATTATTGTAAATCATTAGATTCAATCAGATTATGCAAGATGCATTACCTGTCAAGTGTTACCTTGTTTACTTAAAATGAATGCTGTGAACATGAGCAAAACAATAAAAAAGCATTGAAAAGATGAAGTAAAAGAGCCATTAGCTCATACATACTGTCCCTCTGCATCTGTAACATTAACTAGGTCGGCTCCCCCCTCGCTACAGAGCAGCATCCGCAGACATTCTGAGTGGCCGTTGGCAGCTGTCAACAAAAAACACACAGCAACTTGTCAAAATCCCACATAAAGATAAAGATTCACAAGACAATTTACACATACGTGCTCACTGTACCTGCAACATGAAGAGGGCCCCATTTGCTGCGGTGCTCTGTGAGCAGGCAAGATGCTGATTGGCAGAGCAGCAGCTCTACGCAGCGAGCATGTCCTCTTTGAGAGGCCACATACAGCACAGAGCGCCCCACCGGGTCACAGGCATCCACATACGCTCCAGACTCAATTAACACGGTGACACATTCCCAGTGACCCGACTCCACCTGACAGCGAAAGGAGAGAGGAAAAAGTCATTTCTTTTAATATCAGCTCATTATATATCTATTTTTGGTCCAACAGGGGGCAGTTCTCAGCAGAATTACAGAATATCTGTTGATCTATATTGCTGCTGATTTTTATGTCTTGACATTTTGTACATACCGCCAAGTGTAGTGGGCTGATAGACCCGTTGCTCTCCTTGTCTCCTAGCGAGTTGAAGCACATCTCCAAAAGCTACAGAATCAAGAACAAAATATGAAGCATGTATCAAGTGTTGTACTCTAAGAAAATGTAAAAAAATCACAGTGGACGATATTAAAGTGAAAGATCAATCTCACCAGCTCCAGGTTTTGTTTGTTGCCATGGGCTGCAGCATAATGCACAGCACTGTATCCTTTAGTGTTGCACAGAGATGGATCAGCACCATTATCCAACAAATGCTCCACACACCTGAAAGTATCAAAATGCATGGGACTCAAAGACGAAAACAACGTTCCTCATAGTCACACTAACATTCAAAAGTTTGGGGTATGTAAGATTTTTTAAAAGTCATCTCTTGTGAACACCAACACAGCATTTATTTTGTTAAAATCAAGTAAAAACAGTAATTTGTGAAACTGTGATTTAAAATAATTTTTTTCTATTTTAATACATTTTAAAATGTAATTTATTATTACTTCAGTCTTCATTGTCACATGATTCTTCAGAACAGAATCAAACAAACTTTTGTAACATAGATGTTACATTATACAGTATAGCTGAAGATGCATCCTTGCTAAATAAATTGTTTGTTTCTTAATTATTTTCTACAGTTTTTTCTAAACTACTTTGCTGACCCCTAGGAGACCTTTGAAATACTGTGCAGTACCTTAATGGACCACTAGGGGTCTGCAAACCCCTAGCACTAAACAGTGTTCAAAGAGTATTCCACTCCAGATGGTCATGTGACACGTGACATACGTGTAAAGCATATATAATGTAATTATTATTTCAATAATTCAAGTGGCAAAAACAAACTGCTGTAAGAGCTGCTAAGATTAGGTACAGAACTTCATTTACAAACAAAAAAACAAAACTTACAGGAAGGATTCCTTCTCCCCATCCTCTTGGTTCTGATGGGTGCTGGCATGGGGTCGGTCCGTTCTGAGAAAGACACCAGAAATCAGTAATGCCGTGTACACCATGCACTATTATATTTAATAGACGCAAGATGATGTGTGGGTGTGTGTGAGTGCATTTCACCTGCAGAATGCAGTCGATGCAGCTGAGTAGTGTAGCGGTGTACAGCCAGAGCGGTCACGCTCGTTGACCTCCGCCCCCGCTCCTACCAGAACCACCGCACACTGATACCTCCCATTAGCAGCCGCATAGTGCAAAGGAGTCCTGGTGGAGAGACAAATTTAAACACTCATCATACTGCTAAATCTAAAAAAAAAATTAAAAAAAAGTTTCAGCATACTTCATGCCAAATTCCTATATTAAAGAGAAGAAATTGCACGGAATGTACTCGATCCAAAAACAATCAGCCGAAAATAAATTTGACAAAATTATATAATTAAAATGTTGACATAAAAAAAATTATTGCAGTGCATCACTACTTGGCATAAGGAATATTTACATCATGCACACTTCAGACATGATCATGACAGAAAATTGTGAGCATCCCATTTTATCAAAGAAAGAAGATTTGTACCTTCCAAACTTGTCCTTCTTATTCATGTCAGCTCCACTGCTTAAGAGCAGGTTGAGACATTCAACATTCCTGAATGAAGAAAATAAAGGATATGCATAAATAAATATGTTAAACATCTTTTTCAATTACATTCAGATGCTGGCTGTTGAGTCAGAATCAGCAAAACGACCTTGGTTGGCATTTGTGCGCATAAAACGCTGTTATATGGGACACCTGTTGTAAAGTGGGCCAGTGGCTTTTTAAATAGCCCATTCTAAGTAGAGCTGCAGCCTCACCCTCCAGAGGCAGCAGCGTGTAGACAGGTCCTCCCAAAGTTGTCTGGGGTGTTGATGTCAAATCCTGCCGAGAGCACGTGTTCTTTACTCATTGACAACACAATGCTGTAGAGCTGACCTGCAAAAGTCAATGCAGTGTTAGTTAGAGGAAAACACTGTCACTTTGGCTGGCAGGAAATCGGTCATGTGAAAAGCAGTTAATGGACTGCTTTAAGACTTCAGTCTATTACTAATGAAGTAGCATGGGATTTGACATTTTTTTGAAGTAACATGCACATAAATATGACAACTATTTAGTACCATATTATTACAATCACGGCACTTCCCTAAGGGACAAGGACATATACAATATAGTCTAGGGACAAAACCATTTTCATTTGGCCCTTGCTGTAATCGGTCACTGTATAGGGAGAAATTGTGCGTACCTGAGGAAAGTAGCTTACGACAACAGTCAGAGGACCCGTAGAGCACAGCTAAGTGTAGAGGAAACATCCCATGAATCCCTTGTCTGTACAAAGAGGACAAATAAGCAAATTATTTCATTACACATGCCACAAGCAGATAACATGCAAACTGAGAGGAGATTAGAATCAGTTTCCTTGTAAATGCAAATTCCTTTTGGAAGAGGGGTTAGACTGTGCCATTTTTAACTAAATTGTCAGAAATACAAGGAGAAATGAGATGCACATGAAACAAATACACCTAATTATATGTGAGGGTGTCTGCTATTAACTGAAATTTTCTCACATTTTCATGAACAAGCGAGGAAATGTATAATATTCAGAATTTTTTAATGTAGTGATTCAATCTTCAACATTTTGCAATGACTTGCAACATTATATGATTATTTTTTATCATACAAGTTTTTTGCTCTTTCTTGCTACTTATTGAGTCAGTGACACACTTTAGCCCAGTGCTGATGTTACTAACTAAAACATATGATAAAATGTGCAATTTTGTAATTACAATAAAGCTAAAATATAAATATTACATGAAAAACTGAAACTTATAAAAATGAAATATAGTCTTGGCAACTAACTGAACAAGTTAAAGTACTCTCTAAAGAGTACTAAACTTTTTAAAGAATTATTGAAAAAAAAAAAATAGCACATAAAATTACTTAAATTAAAATCAAGATGAAAACTAAAAAAAAAAAAAAAACTTTGAATATACTATAATTAATACTAAAATAACACTGCTTCAGCCCCACATACCATTTTGCATAAATGTAATTCATGATCATTAGACACAGAATTCGCTTAAGATTGTATGATAAAGACATTATGCAATTGTTATATTGTAAAAGATGACTTTACTCCACTCACTACAAATCAAGAAAACAAAAACACCTAAACAAAGTCTCACGTAACAAACATGTTTTTACCTGGCTGTGTCAGCACCGTTTGTCATTAAGGTGCTGATAAGCAGCTCGTGGCCGTACTTAGCAGCAACATGAAGAGGAGTATTGCCATATCTGTCCACACAATCTATCTCCCCACCTGAGGAGACAACAAGTGAGGGTTAAATACAACAAAAGGAATTGGAAATTGAGTGAAAAAGGAAAGTAACTAACCATTTTGAATAAGGATCTGAGAGCGAGTGAAACGTCCATGAATGGCTGCCATGTGCAAAGGGCTTTTCCCTTCTTTACTCTGTGGAAAAGAAAAAATAAAGGAATGTCTTTCCTAAAGCTTAAAAACATTGAGAAAGGATACAAAAATTCAAGTCAAATACATTTAGATCATCCAATCAGAGCAATGCATTAATAAACCACTCCCATTTCCCTATCCAGACCTGCATGTTGACATCAGCACCGTTGTTGACCAGCAGCTCCAGGCAGAGAGCCCCGTTAGTGGACACGGCAGCCAGGTGCAGGGGTGTGTAGCCGCGGTGGTTGGGCTGGTTGACGTTGGCCCCACGGTTGACCAGCTCGTTGGCTACGGCCTCCTGTCCCGTGTAGCAGGCCACATGGAGAGCAGTGTTTCCAAAGGCATTAGGCTCATCAATCTGAGAAACAGACAGCATGGAATAAAATATCCTGCAAACCAAGGATCAACCATCTTTCTTTTCCAGGAAAATAGACACAAAATATTGATGACTCATTCTGCACTACAGATTTTTGCCATCTTGCTAGCACAAAACCATGGGTCATCAGTGTCATGGGCCTAAAATGTGTTCTTTTAAAAACTAAGCACTTTATATTGCAATCATTTTTGACCCATGGCCTAGTGACGAATAGCCAGTAAGGACCATTTATCTGGGTTAGAAAAAGTCACGTTTTCCAAATGCATAAATTTTGAATTAGGGGTCGACCAATTATCGGCTCCGATATTAAGCATTTTTATGATTATCAGTCATTTTCAAAACCGATTCGCCGATAAAATAACTTAATTCTGAAACACGCTATTTGGCTCTGATGCAGCCTGTCAGAACTCACCACTCTGTGGCCTAAAGCAATCTCCGCCCACCGCCCATCTGATTTGTTGGGAGTCACAAGTCCGACCAATTAATGCGGAATTGCACTCTCACTCCGAAAGCGCATGCTAACTGGAGCTGCTTCAGTGATCACGCATCAGTTGTCTCTAGGTAAGGGTAAGGCAGCAGCAGACGTTGCTTAAGTTGCAATAAATCACAATCCACTAACGTTACACTGAAGTTGCAAAACACCTCAATATTATCTATGATTTCCCCGATGCAGAAAATGTGGAAGGAATCGTCGAATCCAGTCATATAAATGGAATTCACTGTATGACGCGGAATGTCAAGGAATTTGTCAAAGTTTGGATGAATTAATCAAAAGTAGGTCAGTACACTTAAATAGAGTCGCGATATGGACTAGTATCAAAAATACTATTTAATTTTGAATCCTGCATGTTCTGCGTGTCTCTGTTTATGTATGGCACATACGCGAGGTTTTGTTTTCTACACATACAAAGTGTGCGACGCTCGCGGTGATTTCAGCTTCTGTCTTTTCACTACATGAGGACATAAATACATGAACAACATATCCTGAACTGCTGACTCCCTCTGAGAGTCACATCATGGTCATTTTGAAGTCATGTGTCATGTGTTTCCCACAGACACTCTATTTGTGAAGGCATATATATGCAAATTCATTCTCTGCCAGTAGGAGGCGCTGTTGGAGTGGTAGAGATCGAGGTTTCCCTGGTAACAGCTGCACACAAAGCAGCACTCCACTCACAAACGCTGCTTTATCAGATATTACATGCAAGATGAAATGAAAATGACGTCCAAAATTTTCTGAAGAATTTTAATTTTTACACCAGACATATATATCGGTTCAAAATATTGGTTATCTGTCTACTTGATCAGTAATAATCGGTATCGGCCCTGAAAAACATATTGGTCGACCCCTAGTTTGAATACGGCTGACTTCATATTTCTGATGCCTTATCCCATATTGCCAATATTTTTTATCTATCAAAGACGAATTGTTAAAATGATTTAGGAACCAGACACTTAATCTTTGGACAAAAAATAAATCAAGAAAGAGGAGAAAAGTGAAAAAGCTCAATGTCAAGTCCTGGCGCTGACCTCGGCTCCATTGCGTAACAGGTACTTGACCACATCGACGTGGCCACTGGCAGCAGCAGCGTGGAGAGGGGTGTATCCTCGCTTATCCTTACAGCTCTTATCCGAGCCCTGAGACACCAGCAGCTTAACCACGTCCAGATGTCCTGAAAGAAACAAACAGGTAAGTATTACTACCACTTCCAGGAATCACCACTAAGTAGCTAAAGATGATGCTATTTAGCTACAGAAAACACCTACAACACTTCAGAAAGATACGAGTATATACTTACCAAGGTAAGCTGCCCAATGAATGGGCTGCCTGTCCTTCTTGTCACTGGCACTCAGATTGGCTCCCTTGTTCAGCAGCAATTTAACCATCTAGTTGGCAGCAAAAGCACAAAGTCACATTGTATCCATTTATTAAAACCATCTGTGCATGAGAGGCACCCATGAGAACTTAACAAAAAAGCAGTCACATTTTTAACCTATACAGGCATGTAAAATCAAAGTGGCACTAAGAAAGTTAAAAGGACTGTTTTGTGCTGCATTAAAGCACTTAAAAGCAATATCAAACTGACATCACAAAAAAATATTGATAACTATTATATTACACAATAAATGCAATACACAAATAAATGATTCATATTCAATCCTTGAAGGCTGTGTAAATATGGACAATTATATTTAAATTTGTATTTATTTAATTTAAATAAAGTTTAATATATTCAATATTAAAAATATACAAATATTATTGTGACTGTGCACAAAATGTATTTGATCTCAAATATTTAATAGATAAAATATTACAAATATAGAAATATTATAACATTATAATTACTGTGCACAAAATGTCTGGTTTTCTTAAATACATTAAATGTCTGGTTTTCTTAAATATTTAATATATTTAAAAAAATACAAACATTTTAAAATATTTAATTACTGTGACTGCACAAAATGTGCAGTTATCTCAAATATGTAATATTAAATAAAAAAATACACAGACATTATGAACTATTTAAATTATTAAATTTTAAGACTTTAATTATAATGTACTGGCATCTACTACTGACATTTGATATTGTGACAACTATACAGACATGTCCAAATAAAGACTAAAAGCAGCGAAGGTTATATAAAATATTAAACCAAAAAGGAAGTATCTGTACTCTCTCTAATGGCAATTTGCACTTTTGCAATCTTGTGGAGAGCTAAAACAAAGATGTTGAGGGCTGAAGTGGCCCACCCCATCGTTTAATTCACCCGAGTGCATTAGAGGAGTAATTCCACCCTACCTCCTGGTATCCACTCTGAGCAGCGTGATGCAAGGGCGCTCTGCCCGTGCGGTCGGCCATATTCAGGCTGCTCACATGTGGCAGCAGGGCCTCGATGCAACGCGTGGCTCGGTTGGCCGCTGCAATGTGCAGTGGTGTCTGCCAGAACTTATCCCGCACGGTAACGTCAGCTCCCTTCCTTAGCAGCAACCCCACAGCCCTCTGGGTAAAAAACAAAACAATGCATGAATCATATTAGATTGCTAAAAATGCTAAACAATGGCATGAGTAAGCCGTTACTCAGATTGAGCCTCCACTCAGGCATATAAATCACACAGGCTGCTTACCTCGTTTCTGGAAGCAGCTGCTCTGTGCAATGGTGTTAGCCACACATGGTCCTTTGCATTGACATTCGCACCTATGCAGTTAAGTGAACCAAAAAAAATGAAGTATAACAGATTTAAAGAATGAAGTTAATTAATGACTAATACTTAAGCAATAAAGTAAAACAAGCCATTCTACATTGTGAAAACATTTGTGGCTAAAGGGCGTTGTTAGGCATGTCACGCAGCAGAGCCTCTCGTACCAAAATGCTTAAATATGACAGTTTATAAATAATAAAACCATTACGGACACAATTTTTTATCAAAACACTTAGCAAATTAATCTAAGGTGAAGTGTGTAATTTCTGTGCCATTAGCGTCAGCAAATTGTAAAAATAATGATTGTTTCCAAACAGGTCACAAATTCATGCTCTTGGTTGAGCCAAAATTTTAATTAAATTCTACATAGATTTTTTCCCCCCAGCAGACATTCTACTGATAAGTTAGCACTGTAGTCACTACATATTTGCTTGCTTATCCTCTAAAACAAAACTAAATTAGATTTGGTTCATTAGATGAGATGTTAAAGTGCCTCGGGCTGAAAATCAACCGCTTTAGGTTTAGCAGGCGCTGTGTAGTGACATCGACCAGTGGTGCTAAACCTTTTGTGGTCAGCCAAATAGACATAAAATATTTACTTCTTCAGTTCTGCCTAAAATAATAATAAATCAATCAATAAATATTTCAAACATTAGCACGTTCACGGTTCTCAAATATCAGTTAATGGTCACATGGCATGCAAGTAAACAAATAAAAATATCTACTATTTTTCAGTAAGTGTTTTGATGATTTTATTTTAAATTGGGCTGCACGAATCAGTCAAAAAAATATGTGATTATTTGGTCATATATACTGCAACTTGAACTGACTCACTAACAGAGCAGGATTGTAAGCTGCATGTGTGTAAATGATCAATGTCGTTTGCATGACGTGAATCAGACTATGTAAGTTGTTTCATTAAAATTATCATTGATTTGATAATTGCGATTTGATAGGAACACTACTTCAGTTTTATTTGGAATAATTGTGCTGCATATTTCTTTATTTTAATGTTACATTTGATTTCGTTAATTATAAGCATTTCATTAATTCTTGAACTCCCATTTGGAAAACCCCGATATAGACTGAACTTATGCGAATGGGTGTGACACGCCATAAGTTTTACTATTTTATGCATTTTAGCAAGGCTAGAATGCTGTATTGTATGAATAAAAACATTACTGCACATGGTGGCAGTACTGCTGTTTAAGGTCATACCTGCGCTGATGAGAAGCTCCATTATATGAACGTCCCCCAGCCAGGCAGCAGCATGAAGAGGTGTGCGGCGCTCTTGGTCCTGACACAAGAAAGTAGGGGGGGGAAAAAAAAAAGTTAACAGAATTTTCATTAAAGGCCCACACAGCCCATATGTATAGTCACCCGGACAATCTGCCCATAGTTATTACATCACATATGCAGATGAGACACATAATTCATGCTCACACTAAAATAGCCATTCGGAACATACCAGTGCATTGACTTCATCTTTCTTGTGCAAAAATAACTTCACTTCATCCACATTTCGGTTAAATATTGCCTGGACCAGAGGCGTCTGGAGGAGGGGGGGGAAGGGTGGATGTTATGATAATGCTATGAAACATGACAACAAATTCAAACCTTTTGTTTGAGCAACTTCTGATTACAGTGTATAACATTAAGTGTCAATTGTGAGGTGTATAACTGTATGATTATAACCAAATATCATGATCACCGAGTATCATAAGAAAGCTGTAACAAAACAACACACACTGCAATTTTATCTACGTAGACATGATACATGTGCATACAGTATTGTTATAGAAAGGGATTAATTAACAAAAGCCGGAGTATTTGTTAAATAGATTAATAAACCAGTGCGTTTTAAAAACATAAACACACAATAGATGTTTTCCTATGCGGCTGGCTGACACCCAGCTCATTAGGCTAGCAGGCTGGCTAACGTCTGGGCGTGATAAAAGGGTTATTTTTGTCATTTGTATCGCCTCTTAGGTAGCCCTACTCTTATTATACAGTAAAAACGTGACGTTTCCAACTAAATGCATGACAAAAACACAAGTTTTGATGCGAGAAATATAAGGGAAATGTCATAATCCATCGTCATGGAGCTAGCTAACATGTCAGGCTCTGCATACAGGCGCAGAGAGCGCACAACCAACTGCTTGATTTTCGCTATTCGTGGGGTTTTCATTTCCCTCACCTGGTCTGAAATATTGAGTACCCCCATCTCCCTGCGTCAATCGGGCCGAAAGTCCCTCATCAGTAAGGAATCGAGGCTGGGAAACCAATACAACAATCTTGCGTTGCGATTATAGACGAGATGAGTGAGTTTTTAGCTGGTGGTGAGGCAGTTGAAAATAGCGACACCAGCGTGATGGCCGCCTGCTGCAACAACTTTCAGAATAAATGCCCGTAAACTAAACCTAAACGAATCTATTTATGTATAGACATTTAGAATACAGAGTTAAGGATGTTCTGGGCCTGCTCAAAATTAAAGATATAATTGCCACATAAAAATTTACTAATAACGATGCCTGCTTTGACACACCTTGGCTTCTAGAATAGTTAAAATGGCTGTGGAAATGCATGCACCTCTGAGAAGCATTAAACAGTGTGTTTAAAGATGCCTAAGAAGCTCTTTTGTGCCGCCTTTTGCAGTGTAAATTTGGCAGTTTTGAGAATATATATAAACCTGTTAAGAAAATGTGCAAGTTAAGAATTTTTTTAACAATGCATATTTTTTCAATGCAACTTTACATTTAGTCATTTAGCAGACGCTTTTATCCAAAGCGACTTACAAATGAGGACAATAGGAGCAATCAAAACTAACAAACAATATAAGTGCAAATGACAAGTCTCGGTTAGCCTAACGCAGTACACGCAAGGTTTATATATATATATAATACACACACACACAGTTAGTCTGGTCAGCTATCCATGTGGGGACTCTCCATAGGCGTAATGGTTTTTCTACTGTACAGACCGTGTATTCTATTGCCCTACACCAACCCTACCCTGATTTTCAAAAAACTTAAAGGGGTCATATGATGTTGCTAAAAAGAACATTATTTGGTGTAATGAAATGTGTTTATGCGGTTTAAAGTAAAAAAAAAAAACACATTATTTTCCACATACTGTACATTATTGTTTCTCTTCTTTGCCCCGTCTTTTTGAAACGAGTCGATTTTTCAAAACTCTTCGGTCTGAAAAAGCGAGGTGTGCTCTGATTGGCCAGCTATCCAGTGTGTTGTGATTGGCCGAATATCTCAAGCTTGTGACGGAAATGTTACGCCCCTTACCATATTGTGATGCCGTGTCCGGCCAGAGGATGAGACATAAACATTAAAACCCATTACAAACGAGGCATTTGTTGCATAGGCATGACGAAGTGGATATCGTCCTCTTTTGGAAGACCAAACAAAGTAGTTTCACTTTCACAACGAAACATACAGCGTCTTCAGGACATGGCTGCAGCGTCAACAATACTACAGCGAGAATAAAAGTTACGCCGCCTTTCTTTGCGTGAACATTTGGGCGGCATTATGCAAATCTTCCCACATAGTGACATAGACATGTGGGGGCGTGTTAGAACGAGCCGTTTTAGGTAGGCGTGGTTAACTCTTAACTTTTATAAAGAATATCTCTTTGGATTTGAGACTTTAGTCTTTGCAACTTTACAGATCTTCTTTATGCACCAAGAGCTTGTAACACTCCAAAGAGAAAGGAAAAATTTAAATCGCATCATATGACCCCTTTAATTCTGTATGATTTATAAGCTTTTGTACCCGTGGGGACCACAGTTTAGGTCCCCACCATGACACGAGTCCCCATGAGTCTGTGTGTAGTCAGGTTTAAGTCCCCACCAGGATATATAAACCAGTACATACATACACACACACACACACACACACACACACAAAGAAAAACAAGTAGATAGAATAGAAATAGAGTAGAAAATAGAAAGCTAGTGTTAGTTTTAAAAAAGAAGTTAATAGATAAAGTAGAATTAAAACAGAATATTAAGTGCTAGAGTTAGAGGGTCTGTGAAAAACTGTTACTCATACTGTTAAATATTCTGAAAATATAATGAAATATAAGCTCAGTATCATGATTTCTAGTCTTTACAAAGCAGAATGGCCCACCAAATAATATAAAATGATGTAAATGTTAACTTTTTCCTCCTACTTTTAAAAAGTTGATCTGGATGATAACTAAACAAAATTGTATTTAATATTTAATGCATGTAAAAATCCAAGTGTTTATACAGTAGATGTTGAAGGATGGTTTTATTGTTTTTATTTTTTATCCAACAGGAAGAGATTTTTAAAAAATCTATATAAAATAAAATGTCTGACATTCTAACTAGGCGACTAACAAAGTTTATGTGTATAATGCCCTCTTCTGTTCAAACCAATAAAAACAAATTAGAAAATCTTTTTCAATTAAAGCCACTTTAAAATATTTCAGCTAAGCAATTTCGGCATCATACTTTTTAAACATGAAGGGAGGAGAAAAGCCTCATGTATGGTCAAAGGCCATGCATCCAAACAAACTGACATATTTTAAACAGGTTGTAAATGCTAAAAGCGATTGTCTTACGTCAAAGATAACACACAAAAATCTAATCTATGTGTTTCACTTTTTAGTATTTAAGTATTTTTGAACTGCATAAATCTGACTTTTATTTTGAAAACGCACCGAAAACAACAATCTTCCGGTGGCCCTGTTGGAAATTTTGATAGGGTTGCCATTTTCACCAAATATAAAAACACCCAGTACAGTTTTTAGGCAATGCAGAACGCACAATGAGTTTATTTGCGAGTGCTAAACATCAGAGGAAAAACCACTAGAGTTAAAAAATGGCAGACTCTGTAGTGATGGGGAGCGGATCCTTAAACTCCGGAAGCGTAAATATCTCCTTTCATTTCTGTTAACGTTACCTAAGTTACAGTCTGCTAGCTTAGCCAAACAACACTAACTTTATGAGTTTGTTTAAATATAAGGCACATTTAAGGGCAGAATTGCCATATATTTAAAAAAAAGACACTGTTTTATATGCAAACACATCGTTTTTTTTATTATGTTATGCGTAAAGTTAAATATACAATAGCCTCACAATAAATGTAGTGAAGCTATCTAGAAACAGGTCAGTGTCTGTCAGCATAAAGTCTCAAACCAAGTGGTCTTGCCTACCTGAACACTATTTTTTTGACCATCATATGCCCAGTCATGCTGTTGGACATGATGTCCAAAAATGCTGTCTAGGAGAGCAGCCACCACTATCCCTGAAAAGGTCTTAGCTGATTTAAACTGATCTCCCAGTCTTGAAGACCAGCAAAACATTTATGCTGGTATAAACTTTTTGATTAGAACCATAAATAGCAGCAACCAAAGCTTGGTTTTGAGAAAGTCAAACATTTGCAATTGGACATCCTGATCTTTAATAGTCTGTTCTTTTGATTAATAATTGCAGCGCTCGGGGAGCAGTAAGACCAGCACAAGTCCTACAGAGAACTATCAGCTGGCTCGGAGACGCACGCTGCAGGTGGTGGTCAGCTCTCTGCTGACAGAGTGTGGCTTCGAGAGTGCTGAGAAAGCAGCGATGGAGACACTCACTGAGATGATGCAGAGCTGTGAGTCCTTCCCTTATCTCATGCAAGTCACCTGTAAGATTATATATATATATATGTGTGTGTGAGTTTATATAAATGTAATATTTATGTCATTAATTGTTTTTATTTCGATTACAGAATAAACATGTTTCATTGTATGTGTTTTCTATATTAAGAGTCTGATTATCTTTTAATAGATATAACTGAGGTTGGACGTTGTGCGAAGGCAACCTGTGAGCACACAGCTAGAAGCACCCCTACACTCTCTGATGTGGTCATCACATTGGTCGAAATGGGTTGGTTGCCCTTTTATCAATCTATTTTATCTTAAGAAGTAAAGATTTCACTTCTGTATGTGGTTGAATCACGTTTATCTGTTAATGAGATTTGAACTAATTCTGAGGTTTACTTTTTCCACAATCGCAGGTTTTAATGTGGATACTCTTCCAGTGTACGCCAAAAGATCCCAAAGGATGGTCATAACTGCACGTAGGTTTACCATTTTTTACTAATTTATCAATTTATCCTATATTATCTGTTATAACTGTTTAAATGTACTCTTCTGTGTTTAACAGCTCCAATAACGAATGCTCCACTCATCCCAAAAGCCCTCATAGCCGGACAGAAGCGCACTCATCCAACATACATCCCCAGCCACTTCCCAGAATTCCCAGATCCTCATACATACATCAAAACACCAGTGAGTTATTTTGCTCACCTGATGCCTTGCTATTGTCTGACTTTCAGCTTAACAACCAATAATAACATTAAGAACATACATTCTGCTTCAAAATATTATATCTCACATTTCTGTGTTTTAGACGTTTCGAGAGCCTGTGTCAGATTATCAGGTGGTGAGAGAGAAGGCGGCATCACAGAGGAGAGATGTGGAACGTGCGCTCACGCGCTTCATGGCCAAGACAGGAGAGACGCAAAGCCTTTTTAAGGACGACATCAGTGCATTCCCTTGTGAGCTTTTCTGCCCCAAATACTGCCAGTGTCTTATTATACTTTGACTACCCTTTTGACTTTCTAGCATTTATTATTCATCTGTCTGTGTGTAATAAGTGATCGCAGCAAAGCCGAGCGCCATCCCTTACCTGAGTGCCCTGCTGCCCTCTGAACTAGAGCTTCAGACACTGGAGGAGACAGATTCATCCGAGCAGGACGACCAGACAGACACAGAGAACAGCTCCAGTAACGTCAGTCAGGCAAGCATGAAGCATTTTTTCTTGTCAAAATGTTTATGCAAAAACATGAACTGTCTGTGAAAAGACATGTCTGTTGTTTTTCTATGATTTTTTTTGTTTGTTTATAATGTGTGTGTGTGTGTGTGTGTATATATAATATATATGTGTGTGTGTGTGCAATAACTATATTTTGTTTAATTATTTTAATAATGACCTTTTTAATAGAATTACTTATTATTATTTTAATAATAATTAATGATTTTTTTTTTTTTTTTCCTAGGATGACCAAAGTGCAGATAAGGAGAACGTAGTGCTGCCGCCTGGTGGAGTTGTGCCTACAGGGAAGGCCAATGAGGAAAACATGATTGACAACCCATATCTTCGGCCAGTCAAAAAGCCCAAAGTGAGAAGGAAAAAATGAAAATTGATATATTGACTCGGCTACTTCTACATCAGCTGATTAGGATGGATGATGACTTCTTAGCACGTGCTAATCACACTGTGCCCCTTGAAGTTACAGCTAACATACAAGGAACCAGAGTCTTCAACAATTGCAATTTGGAAACGCGCAGTGGTCCATCATGTTACTGATGTTTGATTCATATAGAATGGCAGACTTTTCTGTACATCTGAAAATATTAGATGGAATTCAAGCAGGCAACTTCTTTAAATTGTAACACAGCTTACAGTTGATTTTTGGTAGTTTGTTTTGATAAGCCTTCCCTTGAAATATCATTTAGTTTTTACAGTTCTAAACAACAGAAACATGACATTCTCTTTTGATTTGTATGTATTTGTTACTCATTTGTGAGTGATGGTAATAAATGTCTATCATTGTTTATTTTATGGCATCGTTTCAAAAGGACAAGTTGAAAATTAAACCAGAACGTGGAAACGTCTCCATTATGAGCTTGTGTCTCGTGTCCCGTTACTCTACTCACTACTGCATTAGTTTAATTTTAAGTAATGTACCTCAAAAATAAGGTTTCACACTTCTTATGAAATAGGAAAACTTGTCTTATAAAGCTTTAATGTTTGTCTGCATTGACAATCACACTGAATTTTTGTGGTAGCATTTTAGTGTCATCAGTAAAACAAGCTTAGATATGCCAGCCTGTTCCTCTGTTTCCTAAACTCTTTGTCATGGTAGAGCTGCACGGACACAAAACACATCAAGTTAAAAATGGGGGGGGATCAATTTATCAGCTAAGGAAAAAAAATTACATGCTCAACAAACAGGCTGTTGTACATATATTTTTTTTCTTTTTTCTTTAAATGATCATTTGTAGAAGAATGTAAGATATATCTGTACCTCTGTACGCAGTGCTCTTCTATCCAGCGATGGCACTTTTGACCAATCTGGAGAGCTGAATTTCATAGGCCACGACACCTTCTTGCTTTGGATGATATCAAGAACATATGCCCCTGGACTAAAAAAGGGATATACGTTAAAAATCTGGGATTCATTTAATTTAAACCTGGAATTAGAAGTTTTAGTTCTCAAATCATGCTGCCAAGTGAAACCATCAGGTTTTACACAAACTTGTGTTTTCAATACCTACACATTCTGAAATTCATGCTGATTTTTCAGTTCAGCTTTCACTTAAGATTGTTATTCTGGTAATATGATTTTTAATGCAAAACAATTACATTTTGGACCCCATATTTCTCTTTATTGCTTCAGATGTGCTTTGCCTCAACCCAGTATACATTTTTATAATTCATATACATTTTTCTTGTATACATTTTCCAAGCTCTAAAACATTGTATCAGGTTGAAAATGAGAGTAAAATATTCTACTATTATAAAATATCCCTAATCTTTATTCAGCAACACAAACAACTGCAAAAGTCATGGGGCCCAGCCTTCAATTATTGTTAAAGGGGTCATATGATGCGATTTCAATTGTTCCTTTCTCTTTGTAGTGTTACAAGCTCTTGGTGCATAAAGAAGATCTGTAAAGTTGCAAAGACTAAAGTCTCAAATCCAAAGAGATATTCTTTATAAATGTTAAGAGTTAACCACGCCTACCTAAAACTGCCCGTTCTAACACGCCCCCACATATCTACATCACTATGTAAAAAGACAGTATAAGTCATTATAATCCATAATTATGTCCCCACTGGATGCAGCAAATGCCAATCACAGCACACCTCGCTTTTCAGACCAATGAGCTTTGTAAAAATCGAGCGTTTCAGAAAGGCGGGGCATAGAGGAGAAACAATAATGTACAGTATGTGGAAAAGAATGTGTTTTTTGAACCTTAAACCGCATAAACACATTTCATTACACCAAATACACAAAATAATGTTCTTTTCAGCAACATCATATGACCCCTTTAATGCAGGCCCTGCAGCCAAAAAGAGAACTACTAGAGAAGTTGCTTTTCATTACCATAACACACATTTATTACCAGATACACGCATAGTCAAATGTTAAAAATAATCATACCCAGGGCTGGAATCTGTATTTGAATGTCTGACTCTTGCAGTGGTACTATTGAATGGTGCTTTTCCAGGAGGACACACTTTAGACCAAGTCCAGTCCTGCTGGTATTTCTGTGGTGAAGGGGTGGCCGCCTATAAAAACAGGCGATGCATAAAAAAACAAAAAAAAACAATTAAATTGAATTAAAACAAACTAAATGGTTGTTACTTAGAAATTCATAAACGATACCTTAATTGGAGGCAGAAAGCGTGGTGCAGTGCGCGCTCCTAACACATATCCCCTCTTACTCTCAGGTCTGTGTTGGAGCTCATATGTAAGAGTGCCCACCTGGGAACTGCAAAGTTAGGTGAAAGGACGCCGTTCCATAACTTATACGTTAATAAGTGCTGTGCCATCCTGCATACTCACCGTGTGGTTGTCGTGACATCCGGGTCCTAGTTCCTTGGAGCCGTAGAGCGCGAGCATTTCATTGCCCATGCGATCAGGCGCAAAATGCGTTGGAAACATCAGCCGTTTCTGGCAGCTACCGAACGCGACCCGTGGAGCTAGAGAGTTTATAAAACAAATGATTGATTTCATTTTTTTAGGCAAACGGTGCAGTTCAGTCCGGTTATGTATAAATTACCTGCGCCCCGTGTCGTCATTGCGTCCTGATGTTTACTGGTTACCATGGTATCCAGGTGCAAACGAATGCTGATGATGTGGATCAAATGGAATTCCGATGTATGCAGAAGCAGAAGCTGTGTAAAAAAGCATTACGTTCAATCAAGCAAACAATGCTTTTTGTTTGTTTTTGATTTTACTAAAACATTGGTACAGTAAGTATAGTAAAGAAAACGATGCCTCATAAATGGTGTGTCAGGAACAGAGACAGAAAAAGAACTAGCAAGGTAATATGCTAGGGTCTATTTGCAGTAGGCTATTTACGCAATGATATTACGCAGCGCCTGAAAATAGTCCCAGCCAGGTAACTTCCAATAAGCCTGTTTTCAGGGGCTGCGTAATATCATTGCGCCTGCTGCACCCATGGTACAGCAGCAAAGTTCCTTGATTATTACGCCGGAATGAGAGTATAGTTCCTAGCCATATCGGCCTAGGCTAGAAAATCTCAACTTTTCATTTTCCGTCGGTCTTAGTACACGATGTAACTACAGTAGAGTGTTTTAAATAGGGAAAAAATATAGAAACTCTTTGAGTTTAAAAAATTTAAAACCTAACAAAACCATTTTTAGGAATTGTTTAAGTGTGATTAGCCTATTTCTTTAAAATAAATTCTACTTGGTTTAATATCTAATGCAGTGATGTTCACACATTTTTAATATGGCTGTAGATACATGAACAACCAGTGATACAAATTTGCATGTGTTCTACACATAAAGAAAAATAAAAAATAAATACTGCAAAATGGGAACACAGTTTATACAGTGAAAATGTGATCGCTTAGATATAAAATTCAGCTTTCAGATTAAGATGCCTGCCAATCTTAAAAGTTCACATACACATACATGATATATCATATTTTAACATTCACCAGAAGATGACACAACTGCCTTTCACAACCATATATTATGTCAGCACATGTGAGAATATGCTGTTCTCCTGCATGTGGGTTTGTGAATAAACATTTATTCTAATTACTGATCTTTATATTGACTAATTAGAGTAGTAGGAATTATATTAAACACACACACACACAAACAGTTTTTGATACATTTTAAAAATAATTTTCTCCAAGGGTTGGATTGGATTTCATTGTTGGATTTTCAACATCTTTATAAAGTTGACTCATTGTATATTTTCACTTAGAGATCTTAATGAAATCTATAATGCTGCAATGTTTGATTTCTGTCTCAAGTTACAGAGCATGATCTGCATCAGTCGGTGAGGAAACAGCCTGGAAGAGCAGAAGTAGTACATCCTTTTCTTTAGCACTGCTATTTCTGTTTCTCTTTTCTTTAAAGCTGCTTTGAAAATGTTCTTTGCAAAAAAAAAGCTTTATATAAATAAATTGCAGTTGAATGAAATCTGCCTCCCCTCTTTCATGCACACTGATGTACTTTGAACAATCATATGACACGGCACAGCTTATTACAGTAGCATTTAATCGGTTGAAACAAATCTATAATTAAATATATTAATGATTAGAACAATATGAAATAGATGGCCATATGTTTTATAGAAAAAGAAGTATAATAAGTAAAGAAGTATATAAAACACTGATAGAAGCTTATACTTTCTTCTCAATTGTAATTTGGGCAGTTCATTGATCTTATCAGATGCGGCAGGCGTTTTTGTCATTGTATTTCTAATCATGCCAAAGCGGTAAAAGTCCAATGTATGGTCAAAGCATGCAGATAAGTAATCAGGAATGCTCAATACTCAAGAACAGTATATAAAGGACATTGTATTTGAGATTTCCTGGTTCAAAAAACACTTTTATGACCAACCAAATATCACAAAACTATATCTACTGATAAAAAGGCCCGGCATAAGGAAGTAACATTTATTATTTATTACATTTATTATAACAAGAGCCAGAGACGATGCTGGAAAATGACTCCCTGTTAGACTCCCTGCCTTTATTCCTCACAACCATAGCCCAGGCACACAAAGTTATATATATCACTATACAATCCCACAACAGGAACAACTTTTCTGGAAATTGTAAGGAGTCTCAGTTGGGTCGTAAAGGTGACCAAACATATGATCAATAAAGCAGTAAAATGGGATAATATCGAATCATAAAACATTTGCAATGTACGATCAACTAAGTTAACAATCAACAAAAGACTTGTTATCTGTTATTTACAGATGACAATGGATCTGTCTGTATTATAAATACCATGTGCATGTGTTTTCTTCTTAAGAGACGTCTAGAGTTTTCCTTTTGTTCACACATTCAACATGTTGGTGCAAAAGCTAAGCTGGATCATTTGTAAGTATTCGTTTATAATTTAAAGGATTACTCCACTTCCAGAATAAAAATTTCCTGATAATTTACTCACCCCCATGTCATTCAAGATATTCATGTCTTTCTTTTTTTCAGTCGCAATGAAATGACATTTTTTGAGGAAAACATTCCAGGATTTTTCTCCATATTGTGGACTTCAATGGGGCTCAACGGATTAAAGGTTAAAAATGCAGTTTCAATGCAGCTTCAAAGGGCTCTACACGATCCCAGCCAAGGAATAAGGGTCTTATCTAGCGAAACGATCGGTTATTTTCTTAATTTTTTTTAAATGTATATACTTTTTTAACCTCAAATGCTCATCTTGTCTAGCTTGTCTAGTGAAAATGAGATGAGAGTTTTTTGACCTACCCTAACTGTCTTGAACCGGAGTGCACAGAGTACGCATACGCATCGCAAAACTAGACAAGACAAGCATTTGAGGTTAAAAAGTATATACATTTTATTTTATTTTTTTTTAGAAAATAACCAATCGTTTCATTAGATAAAACCCTTATTCCTCGGCTGGGATCGTGTAGAGCCGTTTGAAGCTGCACTGAAACGGCATTTTTAACCTTCAATCTGTTGAGCACCATTGAAGTCCACTATATGGAGAAAAATCCTGGAATGTTTTCCTCAAAAAACTTAATTTCTTTGCGACTGAAGAACAAAAGACATGAACATCTTGGATGACATGGGGGTGAGTAAATTATCCGGAAATTTTCATTCTGGAAGTGGAGTAATCCTTTAACTTCAATGATTTGTTTTCCTTTTGTTCACACATTCAACATGTTGGTGCAAAAGCTAAGCTGGATCATTTGTAAGTATTCGTTTATAATTTAAAGGATTACTCCACTTCCAGAATAAAAATTTCCTGATAATTTACTCACCCCCATGTCATTCAAGATATTCATGTCTTTCTTTTCTTTTCATCCCTCCGTATAATGTCCACTCGGTAGGATTAACAAATATCAGAGAAAAAATAGTTTGTTTGCAATTTAATTTTATGCATAATTTTACCAAGAGCAAGAAAAACATTCCTAAAATAAAGTACTTGTCATTGTAGTTTTTTGACCTACCCTAACTGTCTTGAACCGGAGTGCACAGAGTACGCATACGCATCGCAAAACTAGACAAGACAAGCATTTGAGGTTAAAAAGTATATACATTTTATTTTATTTTTTTTTAGAAAATAACCAATCGTTTCATTAGATAAAACCCTTATTCCTCGGCTGGGATCGTGTAGAGCCGTTTGAAGCTGCACTGAAACGGCATTTTTAACCTTCAATCTGTTGAGCACCATTGAAGTCCACTATATGGAGAAAAATCCTGGAATGTTTTCCTCAAAAAACTTAATTTCTTTGCGACTGAAGAACAAAAGACATGAACATCTTGGATGACATGGGGGTGAGTAAATTATCCGGAAATTTTCATTCTGGAAGTGGAGTAATCCTTTAACTTCAATGATTTCAAATGTTCAATTCAGTGTTTCAATTGGTTTCCTGTGATTTTGACTTTCAGTGCTGCTCTTTCTGTGTCAGCATGGTAAGAATGGTAGATGACTATAGATATAAGGTACAAACTCATTAAATTTTCAAGTACAGAATAAAATTAAGTAATTTTATTATCTTCTTGCATGTTTCCTCCCTCCAGGAATAGAAGCAAAAAGAAAAGTGGTCTGTGAAGGAGGATTTGTGCACCTCTGCAGTCATTTCTAAGTTATATTTTTGGCCTTTTTTGCCAAAATAGGACCGCTTGAGAGAGACAAGAAGCAATGGAAGAGAAAAGAGGAGAACAGGATCAGGAGGAGACCTTGAGCCTGGATCCCAAACTTTACCACAATTCTCATTATACTTTTAAATTAATTCATTAATTTATTATTATTTTGTACTTATTATTATTATTATGTGTCAGCTTCGGGATTAATAAAGGTCATTAAAGCCAACTATGGGCGGACTAATCGCACGACATGCGCTCATTGGATATCAGATGTTCACACCTCAAATACGCACTGCTTCCAAGGATCATCCCTCCGTATAATGTCCACTCGGTAGGATTAACAAATATCAGAGAAAAAATAGTTTGTTTGCAATTTAATTTTATGCATAATTTTACCAAGAGCAAGAAAAACATTCCTAAAATAAAGTACTTGTCATTGACTGTCCAGGTGTAATGCAAGAAAGAGATGTTATGTTCCTGCAATGAACACAGTTTTCTCTGATCCTTGTGCTTGGACTTATAAATACCTGGATGTGCATTATGTCTGTGTCTAAAAGGTACATTTTGAAGTTGATTATTAATCATAAAATTATTTTGCTTCAGACATGCTATGTAGATGATAACAAATAATAATATTTGACTTTTACCTTTTGCTGCATTGCGAAGAAGCCAAATAAGTGCTACTGCCTACTCTGATCCTGGAAGTGATGCATGTGTATAATTTAGTGACTACCCTCTCACATAAATATACTGTATTCTGTACAGTATGTTTTGTGTGAAAAGAAGTTTATCTATAACTTTATTATAGATAAAGTTATAGATAAAGTTATAAAGATATAGTTGTTGCTAATCTTGTTTTTGGTTTGAGAAATATTAATTCACTCCCGAGTCTATTTTCTATATATGTAGTGTAATTTCATTTAATTTTTTATTTTGTTCTTGAGGTGATTTTTGGGGGATTCTCTCTGTTAGACTCTCTGTCTCTCTGTTAGATAAATCTATCAGACTCACTATTATCTGCGTAAATGTATTTACCTATAATGTTGTTGCACATCAAACTGTATAAAAATAAAT